AATATACTTCATAGACAACTTATAATGAGAGAATTTCATCAGCTCTAATGTGTATCACAAATACAGCACATTTAAATTCAAGGCATTTGCAGTTCGTAAATTAAGATTACCATTGAAAATCATGTTTCAATTCCATCATGGTGAAGAAAATGACACTCCATAACAAGCTAGGGAAAGTCCATTCATGCATAGTATTCATCTGAAATTGTGTTCATTGATTTGGTTTGTCTTGGTTTATCAAAGTAAATCTATTATGTTTTCTTTGTCTGTAGGGAGTGAAGGGACTGATTGTTGTGAGATGATTTAAATGGGATATTACTAAGTCAGTATGTCTCCTGGGTAGCTGTCACTAACATGAGCCATGACTGACTTCATCTAGAGGCCTGTTAGATTGTACACAGCCTGTTCTGTTCAGTATTGATCTGAACCTTTGTTACCTCCAGCTGTATTGGGAAATAGGATGCAACACAGGCTTTTATCTCTAAACAATATGATGATGGAGGCACGTAAAACTCATTCAGAGTGACATGTAGCAGTGGAAGGCCTTGCACGTGGAACATGGAAAACAACACACTCTGGCAATACGGCTAAGGTCAAGGCTACAGTTACCAAGGAAACAATGCAGCCCTTGCAGACTATATTTAATGAACTGCCTACTGATTCATGTTTTCATACAGCTTTATGTCTTATGGTTTATGGAACACAACTATTTAAAATAAGGACTCTCAGCACTGGGGAAATATATATGTTGAGGAATACTCAGACCCTGGCCTATAGACACATTTCAGCCCAACAAAAGGTGTCTTTTTCTATTCCGAGTGACTGTTGTGTTTCGGATTTGCATTAATTACTTTGCTAAAGTTAATCCTTGCTTATTAAAGCTTGTTATATCTCTCTCGGGTGGTTCTGCTAGTGCCTGACAAAAAACCCCAGACTTCACCATCATGGCTGCTGCTCTGTCAGCACCATCAGATTGTGCTAATCGCACTGTTAATTAGTTTAATTATTGAAGACCTCGGCAGTGCTGCTCCAAAGCTGCTGACGATTTACGGCATGCTAAAAAAGAAAGAGCTGCTGGCTTACTGCTGTCGATCAGCCCAATACCAGACACACCCAGACAGTAGCGAGATACCTGCCAAATAACATGCACATTCAGCAACCACGTGATCTGGTGACCATATAATAAAATATTAGTATTTTTTTCAATATATGTACAAATATACTGTATGTAATACATACATAAATATATATATATATAGATAGATAGATAAATATATCATAAAATGCATCACATCGACCACATTTTAAGTATTTAAAAGTATGTTTATGTCCCCCAATTGTTACATAAACACATGAATCATGTCAGCTCATAAAACTGTATCATGGTTTGTTACTGTAGCTTATCCTTTTATGGCCTGTCTGGGTATTAATTCACCTAATATAACAGATTTTTGGTGCGTAGATTGTATGTGTGTTTGTGTGTTGTTGTTTTTTAAAGCATGCCTTGTAATGAAGTATAATCATAAAAAGAGTGGCAGACACATGTGCTTGAGAAGGGGCCAGCAGGGGCCCTGTGATTGACGACCCCTCAGAGCGGTCTGGAGAAACTGTACTCATCTTTAATTGAAAATTGAGACAGTGTTGAATTGAAAATATTGATTCATTCATGGGGCAGACATAGACCCAGCCTGTCTGGATTTGTGGGATACAGGAGGGAGAAGGAGGAGGGGTGGAAAGAGCATTGTGAGGAGATTCTTGCATGAGGTTGAGTGGATTCTGACGAGAGATGCATAATCGAGAGAGAGAATTAAAAGAACATTCTGAATAAATAATAAGGCATGTGATTGTTTTCCACGATCAGGTAATTGCTCATTGAGCGCGTGGGATGAGATGTTTTTGTTTGTGCCTCACATCTCACAACAGCCAGACAATATGATCTAAGTGACAGCAGCACCTCATGTGAAGTTCTGGGGTCTTCAGATTGTTCACTGCTGTAATCATCCACTGCTGCCTAATTACAACTTGTAATTGATTTCATTAAGTTTTTAATTGGATCTAAAGACAATCAGAAGAGGAGGCTCATCTGAGGAGAGAAAGATGGTTAATGAAATGTGTTAAGCAGAAAACAGGTGAACAAGATCTAACAATATATCTGCAAACCAGTAAGCTGTTCTGCTCTAAAATCAATAGGACAGGAAGCAATTAAAGCAGAGATCTAATGTAGCCATGGAGCAATGAGCCAATTAATGCTGGAGCCAGTAAGAAATCTGTAACTATCATAATGAAATCATCTGTAACATTAAGTATTTTTTATATTTTTTCTTGCATTGTGACAGTATTTTCATACTTTCTCCCGAGCCACAGAATCTTATAGATTTATATAAATTATTAGTTATAAAGTGTGAAGCCAAAACAATACAGATTATTATTACTATATTGATTATTATATTGCTCTAAGTGCATGCTATTACAAAAGGTCAACCTTTGGAAAATTAAAAACTGCAATTTCTCATATGTCAGTCCTATTTTAATTTACTTTGATGATTTATCAAGGGTTGTCTAGACTTGTATTTAGAATATCTATATATGTATTTTCAGCTTGTTCTTACAGATAACTCATTAAATTCTTCTTCTTTTTTATCTTCTAGTGCAATACCATAAATGTCCACTTTCAATCACCCATCTAATTAAAATAATAAAGGTCATCGCTTTATTGCTGCATACATTACTTTTTTGACATTTACAAGCTTTCCATCATTTTAAATATATTTTATCTGACTTGGAAATAATTATGCATTTATTTTTTGCTTAGTAAGGCGATGATAATCCATTGCAGAAAAAGCTTTGTGAGTATGATTTGTTTTATGTCGGTTAATGGGTGAGTTGGATTTCCCATCTTTTTGATGTTCCACAATTAAAACAGCCATTACGTTAATGAATAGCTGGCACTGTCCAATAATGCATTTTAGCAGAAACATGGAGCAATTTTATGATCACAGTCATCATGGAAATAGATGTGGGAGAGATATAAAGGATTTAGGGCGAGACTGTAATTTTGTCTACTTGCCCATTTAAACTCTCTTTAATCCGTTAAAACTACATATAAATAATATTTGTATTGTTTTCCACTCTCAAAATCCTGTCATCATTTACTCACCCTCAAATTCAAGTCCTGTGCCAATTTCTCTCTTCTGCTAAACACAAAATATAATTTGATATTGGAATCCAAACAGTTTCTGGTCCTCATTGGCTTTAATAGTTTTTTTTCCTTTCCATACTATAGAGAGTACGGACAACAGCTGTTTGTTTAAACCTCTTAAAAAGATGTAAAAATATATATTTTTTAAAAACAGTAGTTGCAAGTAATATAAATTTAAACAGTCAAATTTTATTTCAAGGTCCAATTCTCGTTGAGACTTTAGTCTTTGCAACTTCAGGGATCTTATCTATGCACAATCAGCTTGTAACACTCCAAAGAGAAAGGAAAACTTGAAATCGCATCATATTACCCCTTTAACAAACCATTAACTACGACTTTGGCCTCAATGCCTACTAATTTGCTGCTTATTAATAGTTAGTAAGGTAGTTGTTTAGTTTAAGTATTGGATCGGATTAGGGATGTAGAATATGTGCTTTATAAATACTAATAAACAGCCAGTATGTTAATAATAGGCATGCTTATAAGCAACTAGTTAATAGTGAGAATTGGTCCCTATACTAAAGTGTTACCATTTAACCTATACAACAGTTTTGTTTAATTGCAATTAACATGCAATTAAGTTGAATAAATGTTGTATAAATCAGAGCTGCAAAATAATCAGCTCCTTTTGTGTTCCACATACAAAATATAGTCTGAAACAGCATGATGAATTCATCTTTTTTTTTTTTTTTTGGGGACGAGTGTCCTTTTAAAGTTTCTGTCGCACTAGTCTTGTCCATTGATTTGTACAGTTTTCAAAAGCAAGAGCATAAAATAAGACATTCAGGCTTTAGATGAAACATTTATGATGTCTGAATGGGAATATAATGGTTTCGGTTATGGTGTCCTCTTCTACATTAAAGATAATGTGATTGCCATGAACGGCATGACCATCATTACAAAAAAAAAAAAAAAAGCACATGCTGGAGTAGTGTGTGTGTGTGTGTGTGAGTGGTCAGACAGACATTTTCTTTGTTCTGCTCCTTATCACAGCACATCATTATGCTGTCACACCATACACACACAAGAGAACAAGCCCACGTTTTGAAGCTGACAGGGTGAATGAAAATGTAAATTGATGTATTGATCTAACTTTTATTCCGAGGGATGTGGTGTTTGTTTGTTTGTTTGTGTATGCATGCAGGAAAATGTGTGCACATGACGCCACATTATTCCACAAAATCAATATGAGTGTAAAATGATGTGAATATCTTCATCCTGAGCTCACTGGCCAGTTTATGTACAGTAACCTGTGTGTGTGTGCGTCTATGTTTGTGCGTGTGTGTGTCAGCGTTACGCTTGCTAGACACAAAACTAACACACAAGAACAGTGAGTACACAAAAATACTGTTAACCCTCCATGAAATATGGGGGTTTCCCAAGAAGCGGGAAAATTCGGAGAAGGAGAAATTGATGTGTTTCCTGAACACATGCACCTGTTTGACAGTTTTTATGAAAATGTGTGTGTGTGTTGCAGGTGATACTCTGTAAAGTCCTTTCACATTAACCCTTAATGCTGTTGACATTTATAGTCCCTGATGCCTCGTGGAGGTCATTGATGGCTTTCTCTTTAAATGCCACATTGTAAAAATGACACTTTCTTCTCTCTCCTCTGCCATCCCATAACCGCCAGCGATCTGATAAAAGCGGGATTACGACCGACCAACATCCATGAATACTTTGACCTTTCACCTGTCCATTTGCTTTTAACAACTTGTTTTAACTGCGCCTGTTTCACATAAATATCCCAGCCTTTAGAATTCATCCGCAGTTTTCCAGCCATTCCGAAACAGCGAAGAGCCTGCATATTTTCCTTATGTATTCAGTGTCTTATCCCTGATCTGCTCACGAGACCAGTGTTTTTATGTTCCCGTCTAGTTCTGTGAAAGCCTCCAGATTCTTATAAGGACTCTGGAGAAGGTGTGACCATTGAGTTTGGCCTCAGGTGGAGATCTGATGGAAAACAGCAGGACCTTATCTGAATTCTTCTGTTGTAATGCCATTGGGATGTTTGATTGAAATAAATCTCTTAATCCCAGCTGTGTTGAGTTGGCACAAAGATTACTGTGGTTCTGAGTGTTTAATTTGTGTTAATCATAAATACCCAGAATTCACCCAGTCACACCCTGATCTCAAGAAATGTTTAACTGATTAATGGCCTTTACTTAGGGTAGATGCAATATTGAATCCCTTACACTTGATTCCCATCTTGATTAGCTATTATTGCTTTCAAGTCTATGTTGAAAAAAAAATTTGAAATAATGCTGGGACTTGAATTTGCATTCATTCGTCGTAATTGCAATATCATTATTATGTGGAGGGATTGTTGACCTGTAAGCCAAGCAAGCATGGTTTACTCAACCCCTCTAAAGATTCACATGCCGGTGCTGTTAAACACAAACTGTATTCAATGTATCACTTTGGCTTAACACAGGTCATTTAGTGCTTAACAAGATTTATTAGGAGTAATTTTAGTACAGGAGGAGATTATGAAAGTGAACGAACAGAGAGAGAGGGTGAAAGAGAGGATCCTTTTTCTTCCTTTTGCTTAGATGCTGAGGTCAGGGGTGTTTCTTTATTTATGTACTTATTTACTTGCTTATTTACTTATATTTGCGCCAGTGTAAGTCATAGAAAGAAATGACCAAAATCAAAGCCTAGCTTTCTTTGTTGTGAATGTCATAATTCTAAAGATGTGATCATCTGTGATGCAGTTTTCATTCACATTTGCACCCAATATCTGTGCAAGCCTGTGTTTGTCACAAAATAAAAACATCAAAAAGATTATTTCTGCTCTTTATCTCGCAATTCTGACTCTATTTCTTGCAGTTCTGAGTTTATATCGCAGAATTTTGAGTTAACGTCTTGCAATTCAGACCTAATTTTGTAGATGGAAGGGTCTGTCTGAATCACTAAATGCATTTAGTTAATAGAATATTCATTTTGTGAATGCATTTGGGGAACAAACTAGGAAAAAAAATGGCTTAACTCAAAATTCTGAGATATATGAACTCATAATCGCAAGAAAGTCAGAAATGTAAAAAAAAAAATAAAAAATCAGATTTGTGATATATAAATTCTCATTTCTGAAATAAAATTGAGAATTATGAAATGTAAACTCATAATTGAGATACATTTTAAATTGTGAAAAATAAAGCCATAAGTGTGCAAACAAAAAAAAAATATATATATTTTTAATTCCTATAGATATAAACTCACACTTCTGAAAAAAAGAGAAAGACATTTGCGAGACAGTTGTGAGATGTTTGTTACGGGGCTGACGAGACGTGAGACTTGCAGATCCATGTGCAAGCTTTATTTGTATTTGTGGAGAAGACAGAGACGTGGTCATGAAGCAGGCAGGGTTAAACAGAGGCAGACAGGTATATGGTGGGCAAGAGACAAGAACAGTCCTAGGGCTAGCGTGGGTCGACGATGGGCAGACAGAGTCAGAAGGGGCAAGACTAAGGGGTGAATCCAGGGAACCAGGCGAAGATCAGAAACCGGGAAGGCTAAGGCTAAGGCTAATGACTAGGGCTAGGGCTAAGTCTAAGGCTAAGGCAAACGACTAAGGCTAAGGACTAGGGCTAAGGCTAATGGCTAGGGCTAAGGACTAGGGCTAGGGCTAGGGCTAGGGCTAAGGCTAGGGCTAGGGCTAGGGCTAGGGCTAGGGCTAAGGCTAAGGCTAAGGCTAGAAAAATGACAAGGGCTCCGTAAAGTAGCTATCTCTAGGGGAGTGATAAACGCTGAAACAATACTCGGCCGAGGGAAGGGATAAGAGTGAGTGTTATATAGTGAGGGAGTGATATGAAACAGCTGGGTGCAATCAGTGTAAACAGGTGTGTGCAATTCGTGCTGAGTGCAATCAGTAATGCATGATGGGAAATGTAGTCCGGGGTGCTATGCAACAGTTTGTGTGGTGCGAGAGTCAATGAAAAGGAAAGTTCATGGACCGGATTCGTGACAATGTTGAGATGAGATGTTGCAAGATATAAACACCTTTAATAATTACCACAATAATTGCCATTTTTATTTCACGGTGGAAACTGACTAAATAGATAATAAAGCATCCAAATCCATTATTTCAAGTGTTTCTTTATTTATCCTTTGTCAAAGGAATACAAACACATTTCCTAAGTAATATTGTTTTAACTGGTAATAAAAGAGTGTTTCCTGTGTCCTCCTGTTTTTCCTCAATATCACTTTCCACCCTCATCTTTCGTTATGAACCAACAGCCAGTTTTCCCTTATGAAGAGCGGCATGAACTGATGAAAATGTTTGTGTGTTGCATGTGATGCACAGCAGGTGTGTTTAGGTAGCATTAGTGTGGATAGATGAATGCATGGATGGGTGACTTGTCTTTATCACTCACGGTGTGAGGTGTCATGCATCATTAAAACTACCTTCACATTTGTTGAGAAACAAGAGGAGGTTAATGTGTTCCCGTCAATAAAATCACACCTCTCATACATATATATATATATATGGTTTTTAACTTTCCTCTATAACGGAAACCCATGACAGGTGCTCATAAGCATGTCCCCGAGCTTTCCATAAGTAAATGTCACTAAGACTTTTTTTTAAATAACACAAGCGCAAGCTGAAAATCAAGATATTGTGTCAAGGCAACCTGTACAAATAACTGAATCCTGATGCCGTGCAATATTTCTATAACCCAGGGGATTTCTCATCCCTGGCTGCATATGCTGCAGTGACAGAGCTCAATGTCTTATAAAGTGTGTGTTTCCACCTGTCCAGAGGCTAATGCATGTTTTTCCACATGATAAGTCTGATATATCTCTGTCACTTGCAGCTATACGGTATCAGTCTAGCCATCGCTGGATGCTCATATAGGAAATCATTGGCTTGCTGTAATGACCTTCTAATGGTTTCTGTGGGAAACGAATGATCCATCAGCGTGCGTTAATTAAAAACGACCCCAACAGGAATGAGCTCTAATTGCCTGAGATATTTGAAGGAGGGTTTCTTTAAATGTGCATGATCGTTTCCTCTGTCAGCAAAGCGTTTTGAGCGATTTATTCTAATCCAGTGTTCATTTGATTAGATGGAAAAGGAAATGACACCTAATCAACACTGCAGCGGTAAAACCCATTATAATCAACAAAACCACAAACACATGCGTTTCCATTGTGTGTTCTTCTTGTAGACTGCTTGTTTTGTATGGACACCGTGTTTAGGGGCGCTCACACATACAGGCTTTAAATCACAGAAGGCTGGAGAGTCTCTGAGCTGCTGACTTCTAGTGGGTGTTTCTATAATGCAGTGGTATTCAACTGCATTAGGCGGTGGATCACTATAATATTGCTAACTAGACCAAGAAGTTAAGAAAGAGGCAATAAAACGCAATAATGCAATAGGCCACTCTGCATGTCACTGTACAATGTAAACCAGGACATTATAATACACTTAACATTAAAACAGTGACCAAGTACACCTTACATTTTCATTTGCATAATCCCATATTTTATTGCTTGTAATAAACATTATCTACTGACAAAATAATGATACTGTGATCCATGTAGCATATTATTTATCCACTCAATTATGTCGTAATAACAAGATATTATGTTACAAAAACATGATTTTTTTCTCATAATAATGCCACATTGTAAAAACACTTTTTATATGTTGTTAAAACTATATATTGTTTTCATAATAATGGCATATTATGTCATACAAACAACATATGTTACCCTGGACCACAAAACCAGACATAAGGGTCAATGTTTTGAAATTGATCATCTGAAAGCTGAATAAAAGCTTTCCATTGGTGTATGGTTTGTTAGGATAGGACCATATTTGGCCGCGATACAATTTGAAAATCTGGAAACTGAGGGTGCAAAAAATAAATAAATAAAATCAAAATATTGAGAAAATCGCCTAACAATGCATATTGAGAAAATCAAAAATTAAGTTTTGATATATTTATAATAAGAAATTTACAAAATATCTTCATGGAACATGAACTTTACTTAATATCGTAATGATTTTTGGCATAAAAGAAAAATCGATAATTTTGACCCATACGATATCCATACATGTATTGTTGTCTATTGCTACAAATATACACGTGCTACTTATGACTGGTTTTGTGGTCTATGGTCACATATGTTCAGAGGCGGACAAAGTACTCAACTCCATTACTTGAGTGGAAGTACAGATACTGCTGGTCAAATATTACTCCATTACAAGTAAAAGTTGTAAAGACAGCTTTTTACTTAAGTAAAAGTACAGAAGTACTTGCTTTTAGAAGTACTTAAGTACCAAAAGTAAATTTACTTTTTTATGTCAATGCACTGTTTTATTGTTGTACGTAATACTTGCAATACTTCTGAAGCAACTTAGAATACATTACACCTGCTGAATACACTGATTAGCTTGTAGTATCTTTGGAATAAAGAGCTTTTAGAATGTTAACAACTTTTAAAATGTTAAAAAATTAACACCCCTACCCACCCGCACAAAAGCAGGATGGTAGTGATCTCACACAGCTCTGACAGTGTGTGCACACATCTATGTGTAGCCCTTCATCCACATTTGAACAGAGTGGCAGTGAAATCCTGTAAATACAGAGTGATAAGGAAGAAAAAAATCAAAGCTGCTTTAAAACCCAGCAACACAACTGTAGCTGTGCAACTTTACAACAGCAACACTGCTTTAACAAAAAAGCACAACAGCAAGACTTATTTGACATCAAAACAAAACATTTTAAAATGCTGTCTAATCACTCTCGCGGTACTTTGATGTCACACACAGAACAGTCTGTGCAGTGCTGCTTCAAGTCCAACACC